ACCGTATTTATAGTTTTAAATTAGAGGAGTTGTGATTGGAACATGATTCCCTTCGACCAATCAGACTTAAGTGACATTGCATATGAGCTTTATGGAACGGGCTTGTCATCTTGACACTTGGCATGATCATATTGGCTTCTTTGTTTGATTTGGCATGACACGTCATTTGCCACGTGGCACCAAAATGGGTCTCTAGGATGAAGATGATATTGGACTTAGCAAATCGGGTTCATCTATTGTAGCCCAAATTAATTAATTTGGACTTTAATTAAATCCATATTTATTGGACTTAAATAATTAAATCAATTATATTAATCCATAATATTTATTTAAACTAATATCTATTGAATTTAATATATTTCAAATCGTTTTTATTAATTTATATTTAATAAATTTTAAATGATTACAATGAGGAACACTGACCTAGCTTCATTTCATTATCTAAATACAAACAAATAAACTTACCATCAATGTGGTTACTTATAAGACAACGCAAATACTAATACTTTACATGTTTGAAATCCCCTTGAAATAAAAAATTACCAGTCGAATAACCACTAGTGACATATTCCACACTATATTCTCTGTGGAATTCAACTTCAACCTCGTTTTCTATATTTGACAACGACTACTTTATATCTCATTTAAGAGGTGTAATTTGGACATATCAGGCAGCCCCACGGTATATAAAATTCGATTACCACAACTTTGTTGATCCTTCTCTTTTTTTCAATATGTCCAGCAAACATTGACAAAGCTCAAAGAAAGGATGACAAAGAAAAACGAAGTGGCCAGTAATACCATTTCGTCTACACGCCAATAAACCTGAAGCTAATGAAACCAACGAATATGGGATTTATAACCTCAAAGGCAGTTGATATTCACAATTATGAACATAAGATTAAGGCTGGCAAACGGACAGGACCGGGTCAACAGGACCGGTTTTACCGGAACCGGACCTCCTTACCGGATTTCGTTACCGGAACCGGTTTTACCGGAAATTTCCAACGGTTCCGTCCGGTCCCTTAGTTATCGGATTGGAACCGGTTTGGACCGGACCGGTACCGGTTCTTACCGGATCATTTTGTACCGGTAATTTTTTTTATTTTTTTATTAACTTTAATTATTATATAATATTATATTATTAATTAATAAAATTATATTATTAAAAAACTTCAATTTAAAACTTTAAACTTTAAAGTTACTTTAAAGTTTCAATTGAATTTAAGTTTAAACTTTAAACTTAAAGTTTAAAATTGACTTTAAAATTTAAATTTTAAAGTTTATAACTTTATATTGAATTTAAAGTTTAAAATTGACTTTAAAGTTTAAAGTTTAAAGTTTATATTGAATTTAAAGTTTAAATCTTAAAATTCAATTTTATATTAATGTTTAAACTTTAAACTAATATTAAAATAGTTGAAAATTAAATTTCTAAAATGACTTGGATTAAATATAAGAGACTATTTTAAAAGAAAATCAAGGCGAATAGCCGTATATTTATTCAAATAAATAAATTGTACAATACAAATATTAGAAAGAGACAAAGAGTACATAATCTAGGTATTGAATATTAATTATTGTACTAACAATTGAAACTCTTTTTAAAATCTTTTCGTAACTTTTGTATCATTTCAAAAGAAACATTTTTTGGAACTTGTATTTGTCGTTCTTCTTCCATTGCTTCCATACCATCATCACTATTATCACCAAATATTTCATCTATTTCGTCTTCTATTTGGCTATTTAATTGTGGTAGTCCGGTATTTCTTCTTTCGGCATTGACCCAATCTCGAAACAACACCGATATTTCCAAACTATCTTTTGCTAATGAATATCGATGATCTCCAATCATAAATCTCGCCGCACTAAAGGCTTGCTCCGAAGCGACCGATGATGCTTGAATCGCTAGCACATCTCGAACAATCCTAGCAAGGGTCGGAAATTGATTTTCACGATTCTTCCACCATACTAATATTGGAGCTTGAAGTTGTCCTTCTTCATGCCTAATTTTTTCTCGTGCCTGATTGAAATATAAATCAAAATCATTATTAGTAGATGATTCAAGCTCAAGATAATCATCCATCCAATCATCCGTATCATCGCTTCTAGGTTTACAAGATGGAGGTTCAACTATTGGAATATTTTTTTCCATAGATTTATATGTATTATATAACTCTCTAGCTTTTATATATATGCTACCTTTACAATCTTCAACACTAGGAGTTTCATCATCTCTAATTTCTAAATTTGCATAAATCTTTTCAACCATTCTTTCAACACCTTTTAATTTGTAATTTGGGTTGAAAGTAGTAGCAGTCAAATAGATTTGAGGAATAGGAAAAAAATATTTTTTGAATTTTTCAATCATAAAAGCAAGGGAATTTTCAAATCGATCTTTTCCTTTATATTTTGCAAATTCAGATGAAATAGCACAAATATTTACTAAAACAGAAGAAATAGTTGGATAATATTGACCAGAAGCAGCATTTGTTGCTTTATAAAAAACACTTAAAAATTCAATAAGTTCTTTTGTATTTTCCCAATCTTCATAGCCAATTCTCAAATTCGGGTCCGCATTATGAGCATTAAAAACTAATTGTACCGGCTCTTGATAAATATAAGCAACTTGAAGCATTTCAAATAAAGAATTCCATCTAGTGCATACTTCTTTTGGAACTTTTCTATATTCAAGTCCACATTCTTTACAACGATTTTTAAATTCTGTAATTCTAGCTTTTATTTTAGCTTTAAAAATCCAATTACAAGCAAGTCTAATTTTTTCACAAGAAATTCCAAATTGAAAAACACCATCTTTTACTATCAAATTATACACATGTGCGGCACACTTAATATGAAAAGAATCATTATCAATTGGACAAAGTCTACATTTTAAATAATCAATTGCTTTCAAATTATTAGAAGCATTATCTAAAGTGACACTCATTATTTTATCACATATTCCATAAAATTGTAAAACAAGGCCTATTTTTGTTGCTATATAAGCACCGGTTTTAGTTTCTTCAACATATTTATATCCTAATATTCGTTTTTGCATGTTCCATTCATGATCAATCCAATGGACAGTAATTGTAAAATAATCATTACCATTAAGACTACGTCCCATATCAGAAGTAATAGATAATCTACCATCATAATAAACAAATAAACAACGAAGAAAATGACAATATTCTTTTTGATATTTAAAAAGATCACTTTTAATTGTACTTCTTGAAATACCTTTATAATCTGGGTTATACAATTCTCGAATATACTGAATAAAATCAGGATGTGAAGGAAATGAAAAAGGCAAACCACAAACAGCAACCATTTTAGCTAATTCTCTACGATCTTTTTCTTTACTATATGTGCGGTGTGTGCTTCGGCTAGCCGGGTTAGTCATATTTAATACACTTTGAACCATATTAGAACCTCCAGCTCCCATAGAATTTTCAGGTTGAGGTATTCCATTTCTATTAGCCCTTTCTATATCATCTAGGCGAGCAAATTCTTTATTACACTTTCTCAAATGTGTTCTTAGTCGTCCCGTTCCCCCTTGTGTACCCGTAGTTACATGTTTCATGATCAATTTACATTTCGTGCAAGTAACAGTAGTTTTTTCCTCATTTTGTACCAAAAAATTCCATACTAAAGATCTTTTAACATGTACAACGGTCTTTGAAAAAGTAGGTAAAGAGGGGACTTCATCTTGTTCCGGTAATTCGGTAGCCGGACTAGTAGGGGTAGGGTCTCATCATCTTCCTCATTTATTTCTACTTCCTCATCTAATTCTTCCTCAAAATTAGTAAAACATCTATTTAAAGTTTCATGATCTACTTCATTTTCGAAATTAAATTCAATAGGTCGTGAGTCTCGTGTAAAAGAAGTTTCATCAACATGAGTATAATCATTAGTATTAATTCTAAATCTAGGAGGTGGCAAATTTTTAGAATTAGAACTACTTCCTCCTCCCCTATTATTTTTTCTTTCCGACATTGGTCTTTTACCACTATATTTTTCAAAATTCATGTTCAAGTTTAAAATAATTAATATTATGAAAAACAAGCAAAGATAATATAACAAAAAAATAAGATAACTTAATTAATAAACAAATAAAAAATTAAAGTTGGAACGAATGTACCGAACGTCTACGTAAAAGTAGACGTATAACCAAAGCCGGAATTGAGAGATGCCAATTGAAGCTTCCGATTTACTTCAAATAAATCTCCGAAATTCGAACTCCAAGTCAATATCACAAAATAATAATTATGAATTTATGAGAGATTGAAAATTAAGAGATTTTATAAGATATTTATAGTTTGTGAATTTGTGATTTAAATGAAAAAATGTGATATATTTATAGTGTTAAGGGGTAGAGAGGGGTGGGGGGGCTGTTTGGAGCCGTTTTGGGCCCCAGCCCAACGGCTAAAAGGGCCCAACGGCTCCTTTAACGTTCACATTTCTTTTAAAGAAAAAAAAAAAAAAAAAATTCAAATTGACCGTTGAACCGGACCGGAACCGGTTCTTACCGGACCGGATCAACCGGATAAAAATCCGGGTTCCGTTTCGGTACCGGTTCCGGTACCTATAAGACCGGTTCCTTACCGGTTCAACCGGTACCGGTCTTACCGGTACGGGAACCGGACCGGACCGGATAAAAACCGGTCCGTTTGCCACCCTTACATAAGATACATGTAAATTCACGCTCAGTTTGCAGACTCTCAAACTTTGACACAATTTCCAGATATGCAAGAAATATTTTCACCTGTATACTCTGGAGCTTCAACAAGATACAGGAGGAAACTAGAGAAAAACAGAACGAGGTTGAAAAAAAAAGATTCCTCCCTCCAAATATATTCTTCTATAGCAAAAGTTATACCAGCTTCTTTGCATTTTGAGACACAAATCACTTCTCTGAATGATCCCAGGCCCTCAATTGGTCAATACCATTCAACAAACAAGGTCTCTCCAACAAGCAACAGTCTTCAAAAAAAATATTTAAACTAATGTCTATGCCATATGTTACATGAGATTGCTATCGGGGAGTAAGGGGAAGTCACGAAGAAACCAAGTTTGTCTAAAGGAATAGCATATGGACGCAGAGCATCGGCACAAAATCCTCAATATTGCTCATTGCAATGTGTCACGGCTTAAAGCTAAACTCCAGGTAGCCTCCATGTGGGACTCAAGCGTAATCTTCCCATTTCTTTCCAACAGAACAAAAAATCTTCTACAGCAAAAGTTTACTCATTTACAGTGTTCTCCTCTACAATCTCTTCTTCACTATCTTTTGGCCCACCAAAAATTTCAAAATCATCAAAACCTGCAGCAAGTATTGATGGTCATCAAAAATTGCAGTTCACAAAGATTTCCTAAATGAGAAACATAAGTTACCTGCGCCTAAGGCTTCAATATCATCAATTAATGGACCTAAGGGAGCTATGCTTCCCAAAGGAGGGTCAACGGTCATCCAGTCTGAACTTTCCAAGTCCTCCGAAATTTGTTCCCTCCTAGAAACCCAATTATGGACAAGTTCCATTTTCTCATAGGAAATGGAGTCCATACAATCCGGCACTAGGTTTTTCCTAGTGCCATAAGCAATAAATTAAGCATACTCTTTTACATCTCAAGGAAAGGAAAACAATATCAATTTCTCCCTTTACCTTTGCCTCAGCCACAGGTTGTATTGAACAAAAGCAAGATCATTAAGTCTTTGATGTTCAATGCAATTTTTTGTTTCATGCATCTCTTCTAAAGGAACTCGACCTGGCTTAGACCTAATCAAACTTGATGTTTGACTGAGAATACGGATGGCCAAGCGAGCCAAATTTGGGCACCCTCCACCATATGTTGACCACCACTCAGCTGCAAGAATTACAACATAATGACTTTAGTTACTTTTCTGAAACAGACAAAGATACAGTATACTAGGAGCATGACGCAACATTAGTACTTGTTAATTTTCTTTGCTGAACTCTAATAATTTCCTGAACTAAAGAATAATTCATACTTAGACTAACAAGAATTTTTCTCCAGTCTTTGAAGTCAAAACTCAAGCAAACAAAATGGCAAAATCAATGGGAGAGAAACTAGCAAAATCAACAAGAGAAACTAGTTAACGACTCACGCGGCTTGAAACCTTGACCAGCATCCTATCCAAGCAAATGCAAATTTGTTTAGATGGTCTCTTGCAACTAGAAGGAATACACTATGCAATAGTGCATGATTCGAACTAGTTTGTGGCCATTAACAGAAAATATTTCTCTGATAAAAGGATCTTGAGTAGAAAATAAGTATCCATCCCATTACTACCATGCATATACAAATAAAAGCCTGTCAACATAAGCTGACCACACTAGAAAGATATGGGAACTAAACAAGAGATAGAAATGAAAATATGTAAATTCATTTTGAATGTACTGATTTCTTACAGTGATGGTCACCATTAGACTATAAAAGAGAGGTTAAGTTGAAGAGGGATGGAGATATTGTTCATTAGGCACACTATCAGCATGGAAATCCCAGAATGGAAGGCAAGAGGTAATATTCAAGTTAAGATAAACTAACTTAACTGAATCACTAATTGTCTGAAGATTTCAAACCACACAGAGAGAAGGTGTATACAGGCATTCATTTTATGAAATGGCACTAACCTGGAAAAAGAGTGTCTCTGGCTCTTACTGCCATTTTCCTCCCAAAATCTCCAGCACTGTTGACGTAAGAAGTAGTTTCTTTCACAATTTTGTCTTGGGTTTTAGGATCAGGAACCAATTTCTCTATACAATCATATACAAGTGATCTGATATGGAGGTGCACATCTTCCTCAGTAGTATAGAAAAATTTGGGATTGAGGTAAAACCCTGCAGCATGAAGAGGATGACGCTGAAGTGATTCCCACCTGTGATCAATAATATTCCAATAAACTGAGTAATCCTTCTTATTGACAAGCTCTTTCTTAATTGTTTCTTTTGCTCGATAGACCCCTGCATAAATGTACGCCATCGCAGGCCTCTCCTCACTACTGACCATCCTTAAAATCCTCAAGATGGGATCTGTCAAGCGGCAAATCAAGCTGCAAGTAGACCAAAAGGACTGATTACTAATATAATCTAGCAGGGCAAACCCCTCTGGTTTCTTTGAATATGGGCTCTCCGCCCACTCCACTGAAGTAACCATTGATTGCAAATTGTGTTTGATATTTACCATTCTTTTTAGTGTCAAAAAGTCGGTTGCAGAGCGTGTAACTCCCAAATCAACTAAGTCAACTCCCAAGGTAAACTTTCTCATCATACTCAAGAGAATGTTATTATTGTAGATGAATCTTGATATTGACTTGGCTTGTTCCATTATTGTATCGATCCACTCAAGTTTCTTTAAGTCCTCGAGCATCAAGTCAATGGAGTGAGCAGCACAAGGTGTCCAAAAGAGTGTAGGGTAAGCATCAGTGAGCTTTTTCCCAGCAATAATGTATCGCTCCTCATTACTAGTTACTACTTGCAACACATTTCTCACACCAACTTCCTCCACTACTTCCTTAAGCAACTCATATAGATAATCCGTGGAATTAATTAGGGTAGACGCATCGACAGACCTCAAAAACATTGTCCCTTCGGGGCAGTAGACCAAAAAGTTAAGCAGTGTTTTACCCTTTCCCGTAATCCACTCATCAACCAAAACAGAACAACCAGTCCTTGCCCAGGTGCTTGAACATTGATCAATGTCATTCCTCACTTCTTGAACTGAAGCTTTTAGAACCCAGCTTCTTAGGTCATGGTAAGAAGGGGCAGAAACTTGTGCTCCTTGGGAAGCGATCACATCAATCATGGGTTGGAAATAAACAGAATTTACAGAATCAAGAGGAACCCTAGCATCTAAAAGGAATCTGGCTACTGCCATATGCACATGATTGTTCACTCTTTTGGACTGGTTAATTGGCAGAAGCATAGCATTATTATTTGAGGAAGATGCCCCTTTTCTAATCCTAGTTTTTTTCTTCCTTGCACCTATATTATTAGGTCCTTGGTCTCGATTCAAAAATAAATTAGAGGTATGTTCAATAGCTTGCGGCATTGGAAGCAAGTCAACTTCCGTATTGAGGCCACAAGTATCAGTAAATTCAGCAGCAATGTCACTAGTGGCAGTGCCAGCATTATAAGTTGTTATTTCTTCAGCAAGTTTCTGTTTTTTTCTCTTCTTCATTACAACACCATTTAAACTATCTTGCATTAGAAGGCGAACATCGGGCTGAACTCTCAAACACGTAGATGCATTACCTTTTTGACCTGCAAGATGTTCTTTAATCCTATGAATTCCACCACCCTTAAATATTTTGCCACAATAAATACACTTCAACTGTACCCTCTCCCCATTCTTAAACATTTCACAATGCTTCCAAGCTGGGTCATGTTTTTGTGAAGTAACTGGCACTGGTTCCAAATTAGAACCCATCAATCACCCCTTCAATCTATATAAAAGACCGCCACAATATTATTTTATAATTACAAAGCTGAATAATATAAAAACTTACTTGTTCGTCCACGGTCGAAAGATGGGAGAAAGAAACCAACCGAGTTAGGGTTTGAAGATTGGGTTTTTTTCTCTCTTTTATTTTATACACAAACAGAGAGTCGAAAGATGACCGGTTAGGACTCTAAAGATCGGGTCGACCCGATTATTTCACTATCGCTTCGACCGGTTTGGTTCACAGCCCAACACAATTCTGCTCAACCTCACTTTCACTTACTAAACCGGATTTTCCCTCTCACATCCCGTTGCCTTGTTTCTTTCCTTCAACCGGCCAGCCCACCCTCTAAATTATTTTTTATTTTTTTAATTTCACATCAAATTATATCTTATTTGTTTTCATTAACATTAAGACATCTGAATACAAACGCACGTCTAAATGATTAAGATATTGTTTCTAGCTCTCAACTAGTGTTGGCAAAATGAACCCATATTTTGGCAACCCGCCCATATTTTAATAGGTTGGATGAGTGACTTTTTACATGGGTAAAATATGGGTTGGTACCCATATTCAACCCATAAAAATATGGGTAAAATATGGGTAAAGTATGGATTAGCCAAATGGATTAAACTTCTAACTTTTATTCACTCAAAATTTATGATTTCACTAAAAAAAATTGTAACTTCTCTTCCTAATTATGTTCTTCTATAGAACTGATTTTTTTTCTCTATAATTGAAAATGTGAAGTCTTTGCCCCTCCAAAAAATATATTTAAATGTACATTTCTTTTGTTAATTATAATTATATTTTTTTATTTTTTCAAATTTATATAGGATAATAAATAATAGTTTAAAATAAGCAAATCATGCATTAGTATTGACATTGCTTAAAGTGAATTAAGCATGTTTTTTGTCCTAAAATGCAACTATTCATTTACTTTGAAATTAAATTTTTTTTCCCATTGTTATTACATAAATTTATTTTATATTGAAAAGTTAGGATTTTTTTTACTTTTATGATACAATAAAACTAAATGAAGTATTTTCAACATTTTTCATCAAAAAAAGACTAAAATATTTTCTCCATGTTGAATTCTTAAGTAGAGTACTATTTATAAATGAAAATATGGGTAACCACCTAGTATTTTACCCAACCCATTTATTACCCAATCCTTTTTTACCCATATCAAATATGGGCGGGTTGAATTATTACCCATTTTATGTTGACCCATTTTCAACCCGCCCAAATTTGATCCAACCCGCCCATTTGCCACCACTAATCTCAACATTGAATGATTAAGACAGTTAGTTTTTTAATAATTCACCATTATATAAGCATAATCAATATGTAATTCAAATAAAATTATATTTGGAAGTTTATATTAATAAAATATTTTTTATAAAAAATAATTTAAACAAAATAAATTTATTATCTAATAAAATTTTATTATTTAAAATAATTAATATCAGTTTAATAAAACATTTAACCTAAATTAATAATATTTTTGGGCATGTTTGTAAATATATAAGACCCCTTGTTAAAATTTGGTGTTAGACTACTAATTTTATCGAGATGTCCTTGGCACAAATCCACACCATATTCTTTTGGAAAAAAGAAGAAAAATATATAGCTAAGCTTTTCTAGAGCAAACAAGAGCTTGAACTAGTAAAAGAGTCAACAGTTACTGATAACCCTAATTTAGCAAAAAAGAATATAAAAAAAAAGGAAAATGGTCAAAAATACCCTCAACTTTGTTTTATTGGTTAACTATGCCCTTACCGTTAAAATGAAGTTATTTTTACCCTTGCTGTTACTATTTTCACCATTTTTACCCCTCAATTGGATGGAAAATCCAAATCAACTAAAATTACCCAATTTCAATTAAATGACCCGATTTTCTCTTTTTAATCTGAACCCAATCCATTCATATCAAATTAAAACCCAAAATCAAGCTCCGGCAACCCATAATCGCCATTCATTTTCTCTTCTTTCCGGCGAAACACCACTGAAACAACCTCCAAACCACCACTTGAAACCACCACTCAAAAGCCCCAAAAACCAGAAACGACACCAAGTAGAAAACATTAACAACAAACCCATTTTCCTCTACTTTCCGGTGACCATAACAAGACCTTTCTTGTCTATTTCCGGCCAGATCCAAGATGAAACAACATTAAACAAACCACCCACCGCCAGAATCATTCAAATAGCTGCGAAACCGACCTGAAACAGCTCTCAAACACCACCCTCTCCACGCTAAAATCCGGTGGTAAAACCACACTTCAGCCCACCAGAACCCAGACCTCCATCACCCAAGCTAAAACAACCAGCAAATGACCACCAGATCACCAGTTCTCCGACCTCCAAACAACCAACGAACAAAACCCCGACCAAAACCCCACCGGAAAACAACTGAAGCACTGCTAACAGATCAAACCAACAACACAATCACGCGAGCATCAAGGTTCGAAAACAACAGCCACAACTTCATATCCGACTAGGCTCAACAAGTAAGCAATATCATAGTTTCATATATGCCCGGAGGAAAGAAAAAATTGATGATTGAACGAGCTCCAAGCTCCGACCACACTAGTGTGCTAATTTTGATTGATTGTGTGATCATTGCTACATTTTGACTCATTTAACTACAGAACATTTCCTGTCAATTTTAGTAGCATGTGTTTCAACGAGGAAGGATATGGAGAAGATTAGAGAGATGGGTTTAGGGTTTTAATTTGATATAAATAGGTCGCGTTCGGATTAAAAGAGAAAATCGGGTCATTTAATTGAAATTGGATAATTTTAGTTGATTTGGATTTTCCATCCAATTGAGGGGTAAAAATGGTGAAATTAGTAACGACGTGGGTAAAAATAACTTTATTTTAACGGTAAGGGAATAGTCAACCAATAAAACAAAGTTGATGGGTATTTTTGACCCTTTTCCCTAAAAAAAAAAACATACGACAATAGTGAAATAAAAGGCAAGAACTTGAACTAGTAAAAGTGTCAGTTGTTATTGATGAGCCTAATCCAGCAAAAAAGAATCTATATATATTTAAAGGAGAAACATAGATAATGTGATGTGACACATTTTTATGGCCTCCATTCATATTTATCTTTTTTGACAATTTTTTTCCTTCATTATTTAATTATTTTATTTTTAATATCTCAAAAAATCTTCACATTCAATTACTCAATTTTTCACCTACCATTATAATATATATTTAATATCTTTAATAAAAATAAGAAATAACTACTAATAACGCACACATCTTCAACTTATATAATCTTAATAATATTTATAACTCCATTTTGTTAATCTTCATAACCTCCAAAATTAAATTTATTAGTTTATGACACCTTATGGTATTCCTTCTCTTTTTCAATATAAATTCATATTTTGTATCAAGAAAATTTTCATTCAAAGTTATTTCTTTCACTTTTCCATCACCATATCATACATTAGGGTGGAGAAGAAAATGTTAATCGTCACATCATATGGTTTCTTTCAACAAATTCGGAAAGAATCTATGGGTAAAAATGTTTCTTTTAATTTTTTGAATTATGTTTTTTACTTTAATAATTTATGTGATATTATTTTATTTTACTAGTCAATTTAAGTAATCTTTGAAATTAAATTGAATAAACTCAATACAAATAAAATTATGGAGTAACTAACAATTTCGTATAAGTATATTCTTAAATTGTGCTTGAAGGTTGAAGAGAAAAGTTGAGGAAGATACAGAAGTAGAGAAAATTGTGAGGTAAAAATGCTTCTTTTAATTTTTTAAATTATATATTTTTTTACTTTAATAATTTATGTGATATCATTTTACCTTTTAAGTCAATGTAACTAATCTTTGAAACTAAATTGAATAAACACAATACAAATAAAATTATGGAGTGAGTAACAATTTCATTTAAGTATATTCTTAATTTGTACTTGTAGGGATGAAGAAGAAAGTTGAGGTATACAAAAGTAGAGAAAATTGTGAGGTAAAAATGCTTCTTTTAGTTAAAATTGTATTTTTTTACTTTAATAATTTATGTGATTTTTTTTTAGTCAATTTAACTCATCTTTGAAACCAAATTGAATAAACTCAATACAAATAAAGTTATGGAGTAACTAACAATTTCATATAATTATATTCTTAATTTGTGCTTGTAGGAATGAAGAAGAAGGTTGAGGAAGATACAAAGTTAGAGAAAATTGTGAATTTCGGAAGAAGATGATGTAGAGTCTTACAATAAAAATATTATTATAGTAATTTGACTTTTTTTTAAAGTTTTTCTTTCATCTTCTCTATATTTCATTTATGTACTTTATTGAAGAACTTAAAATATATATTAAAACTCTCTTAATTATACCTTTTTACATTCTCCTTTTTCTTAAAGTTGTATTTTTATGATGTTATGAGAAGAGAATAAAATGATAAATAAGGCAAATACGAAGATGGAAAAAGAGAAACTTAATAAAGAATTTTTTTTCTTTTTTCTTTTATGTGACTATAGTTATACAAACATAATTAAGTAAGACGATACGGAAGATGGTGAAAGCACAAGAACATGAAGCCCAGAGACAGAGATCGGGACTTGAGGCTGAGATCGTTGCTAGAGGTGCCTAGTCTTATGCTGTGAACGACCCACCTAGGGTGGTGGAGGAACTTAAAGGATTAGAAGAGATAGTTCCTCCTCACCAACAACCACTAGTTCCATGGGGTCGAGTGCAACAACATGCATATATGGTCTTTGAGGAAGATGACCTGGATTTAGATGGGGCTAGAGCTACCGAAGCGATAATGTTACCCATACTACCTCCAGGAGTGAAGTTCACTATCACCAGCACCATGATCCAACTACTGAACTTGAAGGGAATGTTTAGAGGAGTTGTTGGTGATGATGTCAACCAATATCTGATGAACTTTGTGGTGATTTTCAAATCACAAGAGATTCATGGGGTTAGTCAAACCGCTATGAGACTAAAGTTGTTTCTATTGTCTCTA